TTAAAAAACAAAAAAAAACAAAAAAAAAGATTTAGGACGTCAATTCATAAGAAAATCTCTTGATGATATCGTTAGGTTGAAACCAAGGTAGAGGATTCAATTGATCTCCTGATTTTCAATGCATCGCTCTTCTTTAATGAATTGAGCCCTCTGACTGGTGGAGTTTACGTACATTTGTATATAATATGTTTGAATTTCTTTTTCCCTGCCGTGCACTGATAGCTTAGAGGGTAGGATCTGCGGCCGATACCAAATAGGTCGGGTTTCGATTCCGACTTGAAGCAATTGAATTTCTAGCCACACAGAAAAGCTGTGATAGAGCAAAACCGCCTATTCCTGGATGACTGTATATATATATATGTGGTGCAGTTCATTTTATATTACAATGAATCATTCATACAAAAAGTAGATTAGTAAAGGTTATGGATTTTACTATCATTAACGTTTAACTACTTAACTACTTTTTCTATGAATGATTCATTGTAATATAAATTAAACTGCACCACATATTTGATTTAAAAGAACGTGCAAATTTTCGGGATAAAAAACATTACTCTATTTATTGAACTATTTAGTTCATGCCACATTGACTGATAAACTCCTACAACAACAAAAAAATCTCATATTACCATATTAGTAAAAAAAAAACGCACATTCTTGATTTTTCAAAAAAGTCAACCTTAGCGTTGCAACTGCACGCCCCAAAAGTTTTTATCTGTTAATAGCACATTTCTAAAAACAAAAAAAACATATTTCGATTCGCATTTAATTTTTCGGCTTTGATGCTACCTTGATTTTATTAAAAACAAAATAAATTCTATGTCTGACGATGATTGAATGTATAGTTGAAAGTACTTGCAGATTAAAAAAAGACCTTTTACATCTTGTAGTTATTAAAAACAAGGATCATGACATTAATCGTGTAATTCGTAGGTTAATGCAACTTTAAAATTTTGTTTGTGAAGAGATTTCGCCATTATATATATATATATATATATATATATATATATGCACGGACAGAGGTTATATTCATTAATCACAGAAGGAACAGGTAAGCTGGTTAAGGACGCGGAGAAAATAACTTTCTGGTGGAAGGTAAATTCACAATAACACCGCAAAAGACATGTTTCTATTTAAATAAAATCGATTAACTAAATAATTTTCTTATTCCATTTCTTATTTCAATGACAAAGATAAACCTTATATTCTATTATATAACCTCGACCGAATGAAGCATGTTGGTCTTGCCGAGGACCATCCTTCTTTTTACCTCGGAAAATCAAGCTACTGCATTTCACTACTGTACCAGATAATATCAACGAGAACACTAAAGGAGTTTCAACATCAGTAACTACTAAAATGTATATTTCTCGAATAGAAAATAATGGCATAATAACGATTTTGATTTTCAACTTTATTTAAAATAAAATGTTATGTAGGAAGCAACTCCTCTACGCCCCATCAATACTGCAAAAAGCGATAACATTTACTGAACTTGTGAAAACTGTTTTCCTGAAAATTCTATAGAAAAAAGAATAATACATTTCTATTGGCAGTAGCAGTGGCTGCTCGTTTAATGAATGCCGAATGTTTTCTTATAAAGAAAAGGCTAGTATTGCCATCACCATTATAAATGAAAGCTTCTGATTTTGATTGTCAATTCAGCCAATCAACATCAGAATCATTCATTTATAAAAAAAATATATAATTCTGAAAAGGCGAAAAACTTCTCGATTTGTATTAATCGAGAAAATGTCCGTCTTCCTGAAATTTCCAGAAGCGTTAATCAAGCAAAATGTGTATCACATAGAGAAATAAGAGATTGTCTAAAAGTGACAGATTTGAATTTGAAGCATCTGGAAGAACTTTCCCTCCAAATGCAATAAACGTTTTCTGTGTCACATCTGCAACACATATTTGTGATGTCATGTCACACAATCAGTAGCCCATCTCCTCACAGAAAGGCCTTTGTTGCAGCAATTCGTATTAAAGAATTACCCTTGGATTCTACCAAATCTTCTTCTATGTGTCATTCGCCTTTAGGAGATTGTCGATTAAGGATCTCCACAATTTCCTGACCTTTGTAGCTCTTAATAAATTTTGTCTTGTTGTTATCTCATCTAAACCCTGTTTTTCCATTCATTTACATAAATTACCTGGGTAGGTTATGCTTTGCTGTTTTATGTCCCTCATGCCTTCAATCTTTCTGCATTGTGCACTGAAAATTATATATCGTTTACCCATCATCAAATTATATATATATATATATATATATATATATATATATATATATATATATATATATATATATATATATATATATATATATATATATATATATATATATATATATATATATATATTAAAAGAAAAACGACATAGAATTTACCAAAGGCTTCTTTTAGGAATAATTATTGCCACTCGAGAAACGAATAAGGAAAGCTCTCTACCAGAAAGACACTTAAATCCACTAAGAAACATAGCAAAAATAAGCAAATTCACATCACCTCCTCGGAAAAAAAATCTGGGATTTTTTATTTCTGAATAGAAACACGTATCTATCTATCTATCTATCTATCTATCTATATATATATATATATATATATATATATATATATATATATATATGTATGTGTATATGGATGTATGTCTATGCAGGTAGATGTAGATGTGTTTATATGTGTTTGTATGTTTTGGTATGTATGTACACATATATATCTGTATATGGGTGTAAATGTATGTATATATGTATGTATGTATAGTTAGACGGATAGATATAGGGATACATTGTTTATTTGTTAAGATGGGTGTATGTAATTGTATGGAGATGTAAGGTTTTATGTATAGATGTTTATGTGCACGTATGTGTATATCCGTATGTATATATGTGTGTAAATGTCTATATATATATCTAGGAGTGGATGTGTATGGATGTATGTGTATATGTATGGATGTGTGTGTATTTATGTATAGATATGTATACATGTATGTGTATGTGTGTGTATGCATGTGTATGTGTATGTATGTATATGTATATGAGAATATGTATATATATATATATATATATATATATATATATATATATATATATATAAGGGTACTTGTTGAGTATATTTTATTGTTATCAAAGTGGTCCCCTCGGGGTTTGAGGGCACAAACCTCCCACATAACTCTTTTTCCTTTGATTTGAATCTAAATTTAAATTTGATCAAGGAAATGAATCCTATCAAAAATATAGGAGAAAACCAGAAGATGGAGGACATATCAGCAAGATCATTGAGTAATATTGAAATGTATCATTTTTCTCCACAAATTAAAACAATGATTCAAAATGAATCATCATTTTCTTACAAAAGAAATGTGCGACGCGCAGCAAGGATCGGGTAATTTGGCTAGTACAATGATAACATTAATTTACTCCTCAACAATCCCTACACATATGATACAATAGATGAACACAAAATAATTGCAGAAACACAAAAATGTAATAAAGCGATTAGGAAAGTAATTAATAATAAAAACAAATCACTGTATAAACTAATAGAATATCATTCTAGAATTTTAAAACTTTATGGTCTGCCTTCTCCCCACAAAGCATACATTGTAATGCGCCCCATAGCACGTATTATAAGCCCATCACATGTTACAAATTAAGGAAAACAAGTTGAAAACTAAAGGCAAATAAATGTGACGGACAAACTTATGGTTATTTTAGGTAAGAAATTCTTTTACACTAAGGTACTTATTAACAATTGCTTAAATCTTTTTAAAAAATACAAAAAGATATAAACGTCTCCCTACCAATAGATAAAATCATAAAAGTTGTCCGCCTCACAAATCAATGCTATTTCACCATTAATTATAAGTCTTATAAACAAAAAGGTTTGACTATGAATAGCTTCACTTCTAAAAATAATTTTAGCGGGTATCTTCTAAGAATTACACACTCCTTCCCGGTCTTTTGAAAAGATGTAGAACTTTATCCTTTGTTTCCTCTTTAAGGTTGGGTTTCAGGTTCTTTCTGGAGTTTACATCAACTCTATATTTCGAACGTCTCCGAAATTCTATTTAGTATTACGTATTTTTTAAACTTAATAGGAGTAGGTTGATTAATTGATCACTATAATGAGTCTGATCAATGTTGATTTTTTTTTAAATGCTACTTGGATTAAATATACTAAAATGTAAAATTTATAAATTGGTTTTATTGTTAGATCATCCTCAGAAAATTTTACGTCCAGGTTCTTAAAGCATTTCATCTTTCATGGCAGATCTATTACCACATTGTAGGATATTTAATAAATAAAAAAGTCAATACAAACATAAAAAGAAAAAGAAACTAAATGAAATCGGCTCGACCATATCCACAAAACCTGATTTAACAAAAAAAATTAACATTAAATTTAAAATTCTCAGCGCCCCCGTTGCTTTGTGTGCATGTGTAGTTGCATCTTTGTAAGCATCACTTTAGTCCGATAAAATACGTCATGGATTAACCTAAAATCTTTATATATATATATATATATATATATATATATATAGAGAGAGAGAGAGAGAGAGAGATAGATAGATAGATAGATAATATATATATATATATATATATATATATATATATATATATATATATATATAGAGAGAGAGATAGATAGATAGATAGATAGATAGATAGATAATATAAGTGGTCAACATATATATATATATATATATATAAGAGGATAGAATTCAGGTAGAGTTCAATGTCCAGGACAGAGCAAGAATATAATATCAAAGGCTCAAACGCTAATATTTCGTGGTTATAATTTATTACACTTGAATCGTAAGCAAAACCCAATTCATCAGACCTACAAATTCAAAAAGAAATCGTAATTTTTTTTTCCGATTTCTTTTTGAACTTGTAGGTCTGATGAACTGGATCGTGCCTACGATTCCAATGTAATAAATTATAACCATGGAATATTGGTGTTTGAGCCTTTTACATTCCATATATATATATCATAGACCGATAGCTATTAAAGAACAAGCAGAAAGATAGATAGATATATAGATAGATAGATAGATAGATAGATAGATAGATAGAATAAACATGTATGTTAGGAACGTCAGGTTTGCGTCGTACAGCATTGATGTAGTGGTATGAACTCTCGCTAGATAATATTACCATATACGCACGCACATTCATGCATACACACACAATTAATCTGGATCAACGTATTTCAACAGGTGTTTATTTTTTATTAGACCTGTTGAAATACGTTAATCCAGATTAATTTCTCTTGTAGATTTTAGCGTTTCTTTTTCCATCAAGTCATGCCATAAGTTCTGTACGGATTTTAAATAATAAAGAACGAGTGAACAAATCTGACATTTTATTGAAATTTATTCACCGATGTAATTTCTATGATTATCTCCGACCTCCTTCCATCTGCTTACAAGCTTTTTAATCCCATTAATAAAGATCCCTTTCGGTTTCAAAGAGAAAAACTCTGAAATGTCAGTTTCGAACTCTTCATAATTTTTAAGAGTTAATCCATCCAAATGATTCTGTTAACTACGGAACAAATGGTAGCCTGAAGGAGTAAGGTCTGGAGAATATGGTGGAGGAGGAATTCTTAACCAACCAAGTTCTTCAATCTTCTGCGATGTGATTTTTGCAGTGTGGGGTCGTGCATTGTCCTGAGGAACACCACTATTTTTCGATTCAATAAAATAGGTCTTTTTTCTTCAAAGCTGCGTTCAAACTCTCCAGTTGCTGACAGTAAATTTGAGCATTGATTGTTGCATTAGTTGGTAGCAACTCAAAGTGAATTAACCCTTTGCAATTCCACCAAATTGAGAGAAGAACATTCTTGGTTGTGTTTGGGTCTTCTGTCTACGACTTGTAACATTTTGATAAAAATAATCCATTTTTCATCACCAGTCACAAGTCTAACCAAAAATGGCGAGATGGGTTCGTGAGAATGACGAAAAGAGCAGATTTCAGCTCGGAGCATCAGTTTAATTCAGACAATTCATGAGGCACCCATTTTAAAGTTTAGGAACCTATTCAAGTTGTTGATGACGATGAACAGTTTCATGGTTTGAACGAAGCTTCATTGCCAATTCTTCAACTGATACTGCGGGATTTTCTTCAAGTGTTGCCACAAGAAGTTCATCATCAAATTCAACTGGACGTCCTGGTCACTCTTTAGTTTCAAGGCTGAAGTTTCCACTTCTGAATTCGGCAAAGCATCTTCTACAAATTCTTCCATTCAGGCGTTCTTTACCATAAGTTGAGTGAATATTGTGAGTAGATTTTCTTTTTAAACTCATAAAGCATTATGTACGTTAAATGGTTCTTCGAAATTTGAGGGGCTAATATGAGTAATTAATTCAGTCAAATTATTCTGTAAAAGGAAATTATATAAAGTCAAAGGTTTCTAAATTCATATCATTAACAATCAGTATCATTTAACATTTTAGAATACTGTAAAATATGATTGAAATTGCAGATGTAATATTTCGGACAGAACTTATGGGATGACCGCATATTTACTTCTGTTTACTTATGTGATATCAAGCATATATTATATTTTTTAATAGGTTTTAGGTCCGTTTATTTTAATATTTTTTCAAATACAGTTAATCCCTGTTTATTTTAAATGAAAATAAAAAGCTTAATCTCAATTTATTTCAAACATAAAACATAAATCCCGCCTATCTTAAATACAAAACATTTTTTGTATTCAAAATAGATCTTTAAATACAAAATATTTTTATATGAATGAAAAAAAAAACAGTAATCCAGGTTTATGTTTAATATAAAATATAAATACCGTCCATTTCAAATAATAATTTTTTTTCTATTTTTAAAATTTTTATTTTATTGATATTTTTATAGTTTCAGATCCGTTTATTGTATATATATATATATATATATATATATATATATATATATATATATATATATATAAAAAAATAGAATTAATACCCATTTATTTTACATATAAAATATAAATCCAGTCTATTTTAAATACAATATTTTGTTTTATTTAAAAACATCATAACCTATAATCCCCGGATAATCTATGGACTACGCCAGCATTACGTTAACCAGATGTCTTATATAATATTTAAATTATGTAACAGTGAGTTTTTACTCAGCACGTGAAGATTGCATTGTCCATGAAACTCCGAGTCTTGCTACAGCTGATGAATTATATATATATTTATTAATATATACTTAATAGTTCTGTTATATTACATCGAACACTAGTTTATTAACGGTAGTACTCAATTTATATATATATATATATATATATATATATATATATATATATATATATATATATATATTTTACTTCGAAGTTTCGTGGTTACATGGATGTGACCACTCGTCAGAACACAGTAAGGCTGCTGATATCTCTCGATTCTTTTATACTTCAACGTTGGTTCAAGTAATCCACTGACTTGACACAGAATTGTGAGCTGAATATCTGACTACAGCAGAACAGAACAACAAAAATGAGTTATTAAAGGGAAAGATAAATGAAACTGGTATATCAAGAAAAGAATGACACCCGGAACAAGAACAATCTACAACAATGAGCAAAATAAAGGGTTCGGTTCGAAATGCCAGCGTATATCGACTGAAGAAAGCCAGAGTCTACAGCGGCCGAATTATCTATCTATCTATCTATCTATCTATCTATCTATCTATCTATCTATGCATGTTTATCTATCTGTTTGTCTCTCTCTATATATATATATATATATGCAAATCTATCTCTGTATATATGTATTTCTGTATATATGTCTATTCATATTTCTGTCTATATGCATGCCTATATATATATATATATATATATATATATATATATATATATATATATATATTTGTATTTATATATGCTTATCTATCGATCTATCTACATCTGTCTGTCTGTATTTCTCTTTTTCTATATGCGTGCAAATATATCTATCTATTTGCCTGTCTGTCTTTATATATTTATGTAAATCGATCTATCTATCTGTCTGTCTATATATATATATATATATTTCTGTATGTATGTCTATCTATCTGTCTGTCTTTATGCGTGCCTATATATATATATATATATATATATATATATATATATATATATATGTATGTATATATATATGTCATTGTATGTCATCTGTATGTATATATGTCATTCTGTATGTATCCTCTCTATTTAAGTAGCTAAGTAACTATTTAAAATTAATACCTCAGTTATTAAGCTTAGCTAATAACTCTCTCTCTCTCTCTCTCTCTATATATATATATATATATATATATATATATATATATATATATATATATATTTATATATATATATTTTTCGTGTGCTTATCTATCTATCTATATGCATGTATTATATATTCCTGTATTTATGACTATCTATCTATCTATCTATCTATCTATCTATCTATCTATCTATCTGTCTGTTTTATGTATTTCTGCATTTACGTCTATCTATCTATCTATCTATCTATCTATCTATCTATCTATCTATCTATCTATATGTATGTATGTATGTATATATGTCATTCTGTACGTATGCATCTCTATCTAAGTAGCTAAGTTACTATTTAAAATTAATACCTTAGCTATTAAGCTTGTCTTTAACTCTATAACATAATGTCTTTGTCATGTGTGTATATTATATCCAACATATATTGTACGCCTGTTGTTGTTTTCTGTATCTGTTAATATGTCAATAATTTTTTGCGCACATTCTTTTTCATCTTCAATTTTCTTTTTCGTTTTTGTTCGACATACACTTGAAACTCGCAAAACGTGTGGAATTCCTCCAGCAGCTCACGCGCTGGCAAAAGGCACTGAGTGTATCATACAATTATTTTCACCTAGTTACTAGTAAAAGCTTGAGCTCCCATACCCTAAGGAAGTTATAATAATGGTGGTGCTGGGGGGATGCATTCGCATCTCTTTCTTCCTGTCTTGTCAATAGAGTCCCCAATTTGATGTCATGTTGATCTTCTTTGTTGCACTCAAGAGGCAGATTTCTTGGGCAAGCACTATCAGCCCGCATCAGTTGGCACCGGTCCCCGTTCCTCTTCACTCTAACCTTTCTGTCCGATTTTGTCCTACGTGACTCGTGATAATATGGACAGACCGCTGTGTCGAGTGACTGCACTCCTTAGCTTTGGCGTGCAAAATGGCGACAAATATCTGTAATGCGACAGATAATCGGCATTTAAGATTTGTTTCTTTACTTTTCTTCATTAATTTACAGGATGTCTGGAATCCTTTGGGAGCGAAAGAAAAGACTGTCCTATACTTTTTTTTTGTTTTTGTTTTTGCAAAAGCGTACATTCCACGCATATATACATGTACACATGAAAGGATACATCGCTCAAAGAACAATGCGAGGGACAATTCTTAGAGATAAAAAAAAAAAGAGGTCAACATTGATTTGGGAACAGATCAAGATAGAAGATACCTTAGACGTGATTACGTGACACAAAAATGGTGGTGGGTGGAACATACAGCGAGAACAAAAGATTACACATATAACAAAAAGTTGAATGATACCTAATGAAAACTCAGCGCAGACAGAAGATAGGCAAAAATGAAGGTAAAACTTGGATGAAAATAAAAAAAACACGGTCATTGTAGAAGGAGCTGTATTGCATAGTACCCGTAATGCTAATATAAATATTAGCCATTTCGCTATAAGGAAACATTTGGAATTCATATACCGAGCAGCCAGTTTGAAATTTATAAAATATTTTTCTTAAAACAATTTTTCAGGAAAATAGGCTCTCACGTCCAGTGGCTGTTATGGCTCTTTCTATTAGTAACTGAGGTTTCTTTCTTAATTTTATTTCCTTACTAACATTTAATTTGTAATACTGTGGAATGTCATCATTCAGATTACGTCATTATTTTCTCTTCGAGTTACAAGTGCTATTCTTTTATTACCTATCCATTTTAGTTGCTAATGCTGTTAGCAATCCTCAAGTGATTTATGTTCTTTGATACAGATCCTTGCGAATCTGTAGCCAGTCAACAATGTTCAAAGAAGGCTGATTTTTGCTTCACTATCGGACACTATTCGTAACATACTTGTTGACAACATTAATATAATAGCACCATGTACATGCAAAAAAAAAAACTAAAAATAATGGATGCCTTTTTAATAAAAACAAAATAACCAACACTTAATGATGTTAACTTTGAACATGGACACAATATCTTGACCGTGTTTTGAAAAATGAGAACATTTTATAAAACATACATAGTACAGACTATTTCTTACTTAACAGTTAAAATATTTAATCCTTGAAAATGGCTAAATGTATAGCCGAAACCGCTCGGATAAATAGAACATTCGGACAGTTTTTATATAATTCATCACCCGAAAAGGAAAAAAAAATTATAAGCTCACATGAGAAATTGCATAAAAAACTAAATAAAACTACCTTGTCTTTCGTATTCAATGAAATGTGCATGAAAGAAGGATTTCTGCCTAAACACACACACACACACACACACATATATATATATATATATATATATATATATATATATATATATATATATATATATATATACATATATATATGTGTGTGTGGTATATATATATATATATATATATATATATATATAGATACATAGATAGATAAATACATAGATAGATAGATAGATAGATATAGATATATATTGAGGCATGTTTCATTAAATAATATAGACAAGTGTTTATCTATTTTATTTAATTTTTTTTTTCATATCGTCTATATTATTTAATGAAACATGCATCAATGAAAAATGCTGCCTAAATATACACATGTTGTATATATATATATATATATATATATATATATATATATATATATATATATATATATATATATAAGTTTATGGGATATTTAATAACAAAGACGATGGAAAAGATAGATAAAAAATAATCTAAAAGAAATCGGCTACATTTTATACACCCCCGCCCACCATTTTGTTACAAATTTAAAATTCACAGCGTCTCTTGTTCGTCCGCATGTGTAATTGCAACAAGGTAAACAAGTCTAGTCCGATGAAGTCCTAAGATCTAAAACTTTTTTTCTTTTTTTACTCTTTGTAATACACTTCTATATATATATATATATATATATATATATATATATATATATATATATAGATAGATAGATAGATAGATAGATATATTATTAATGGTTAATACACACACGTATATATATATATATATATATATATATATATATATATATATACGTGTGTGTATATATATATATATATATATATATATATATATATATATATATATATATATAAAAAAAAAAGGCTTAAACACTAATATTCCATGGTTACCTTAACCCTATCTAGAGTTTTCATTTACCTCTCACATTCGACCCCCACTCTCATTCATACATAAACTCTCACTAAATTTTATTTTTTTCCCGGAGTTATGTTTTCTGATTTCTTTTTGAATTCATAGGTCGGATGAATTGGATTGTAATTACGATTCCAGTTGTGGCACCATTTACGAGGCAGAAAAGAAAAAAAAAAGAAAAGAAGGCAGAAAGAAAGGCGAGACGAATCGTGGGTGATAAGCAGACACACACACGGCTAAGAGACAATGAAAATATTGATAAGTAACAAATGGCGAAAAGGGTGTCATTACAACGACAGGGAAATTCTGAGTAAAAAAAGAAAAAGGAAAAAAAGAATCAGATGTGTTTTTGATAACGGCTGTGTTATCTAGGAGTACGTAAACAAAACGGCTGGTCGACTGGCCAACGAAAAATTCAATTGAAAACGTTAATTTTGATAATTGACAAAACACAGGTATAACTACAGGACTTTGTGTGGATATGAAAAATTAAAAGCCACCCAAGCCGTGTCCGCTGACCGATTTTTTTTTCGACGAAACAACTTTGGCCTGCGATAATAAAATTATGTTATCAGAAATATGTACCGAAGGAAAATGAATGGCGACCCAGAAGTGTTTTTTCTTCTTCCTTGGAGGCGACAGACTGACTGAAACTTTAGAGATATTTCTTTTTTGAGGCCGTGTTAAGAAGACCACCTATTTTGATAATTAGCGATAAAATACATGACAAAAACCACGTGTTTGTCATATTGTCCGTTTGCGGCTAGAAAAATGATAACGGCGATTAAAGCGGAAGAAAAGGGAAAGAGAAGAGATAATTTTTTTTTTTAGTTAAGCAAGATATGTTTTTTTCCCCGAAACAAAGCCGCGGATTGTTCACGCCCGACTAAGAAAATCATTGGTCAAGTGGTGATCACGTGACGCACAAAGGAGGCGGAAAGATACCCGACTAAGACCTCATTGGTCGAGTGGTGATCACGTGACGCACGGAGGAGGCTGTCGACGCCTCATCCAGAGTATAAGTATGAGAAGCTGCTACGAAGAAGTGGGGAGGGCAGTTCACGCCCTCTGAAGTATGGTGAGAAAGTGGGAGTAAGGAAAGTTTCCCAAAAATGGAAAAGAGTGGAAAATCCCTAACCAGAAATAAAAGAGGTGGATATGTATTTAGAATTATCGAGGAACCCACGACGCCGACAGACCCACCCCGGTTTTGGTCGGCGTCAATAAAAAGCGAGGCCCCAACAGGCAGAAATCAGTGTTCAGGCTCCAGAGGAGAGTTGAGATTCAGAGTTGAGTTCAAAGCAGTTCCAGTGAGTTCAGCTGACCAAGATTCACGCAAAATTCCGGACTCCTCTTCAACCCAAGAACAATTATTTTGAAGAGCGACTCAGAACCAGACCACCGAAATAAGTTTTTTTTTTTTTCGACTTTCGTCCAAAGACACACCGAAACGCCAATTTCTTAGAGAGCAGACAACTTGAAGCGTTAAAAACTTGCCTAACGGAAAACGACGTGTCACAATCCACAGAACGGGTCGGGAGATAGATGCAGTCCTATGTACCGAACAACTAGACATAAAGTTTGTTAACTTTTTTCTTTGATACTTTGAACTTTTGAGTTTTCATTTTATTTTCTTTTATGCATATTTGTGTATTATCACCCCGTTGAACTCAGTTTGCATTACGGCCCCAACCACTGTTTGATCTCGTCTGTCTAAGATCAATTCACAACGTGGGTAGGCAGACTGGAGATCAATGCAGTTACCTTGGTAACCAGGCGTTGGAAGCGAGTTGGGAACGACGAGGCTGATATCAAATCTAACCAGATTCCCACCCGAATCACCAAAAGGTTAGAATGTCACATTTGGGTGCCGCGACCGATACCAAGCCAGTTATTCGTCACAGGACGAGACAACACGACTGACGCGACAGGCGGACGTAACGTTTGGAGCAGCGACACCCGAACGGAGCCGCGAGGAGCGAACAGCTGGCGCCGCGGCGACGACATCACAATTGGTGCTGTTTGGGAACGTCACAACTGGCGCCGTGGTAGATCAGGATAGAACGACACAGTCGGCGCTGCAACCGGGGGACGACGTCACACAATGTAATAAATTATAACCATGGAATATTAGTGTTTAAGCCTTTTTATCATATATATATATATATATATATATATATATATATATATATATATATATATATATATATATAATTTAATTTAAAAACCCGTATTTGTCCGCGAATTTAATTTCCTATCCCACTTTTTTTTTTTTTATTTAAACAGTAAAATTAATAATAAGCGTCCTGGATTGAGAAGTCCCACTAGGGAAAATATCTACCCCCACTTGAAATCGGTCGGACATGGATTTTTTTCCCAGAAGGGAATCTGCTTTTATAGCCAAATCATTTCGATACATGTTTGCCGACGAATACCTGCTTGACAGACTAAAGTTTGAATTACCCATTTTAAAAGCATATTTCTTCCCATGACCGCTACAAATCTATACCTGCTAATTTTCTTTTCATACCCGAGACGTAAACAACAGTTCTTTTTGAAGGTATATTTTATCCGATATTATTTCTTATTGTATTTATTATTTATTCTATTTAAACAAGAAAAACACAAACAAATTCTATTTAAAGATAGATAGATAGATAGATAGATAGATAGATAGATAGATAGATAGATAGATAGATAGATATGTTGATGGGTCCTCCCCTTTTTACACAAATGGACTCACCCAGCATATACGTACACTACTGCTGCGTGAAGACCCGATAGCTACAGAGTGAGGGAGGGATCGGTGCTCGCACCGAGGCCAGCCCAACCGACGGTTGCGGGGGCAGAGGGGAATTTTTGTCCCTGCCCGAATGTACGCGCTCGGGACCCCATATTAATCCGACCTTGTGTCACATCTCATTCTCTCGGGGGAATAAGTAAATACCGCTACATGGTGAGGGTGAGGTGACAGCGTTGTAGGTGACCGACAGAACGAACGGAGCGAGTAAGAGTCACAGTGAGCGAGCACGTAGACTCAGTAAGAAGCCATACAGCGATACTTCAATACCAAAGACTGTAGAGATATTTTGCTACTAACCCGTATTCCTGGAACTACTAACTTGCATTACCAGTTTGTATTATTCATACATTTATGTTCCTATATTCATTCTTGGCGTTCGTTATTTATTGGTACCGGATTTCATCTCGGAATCCACAACAATATATATACTGTGACTTTTCTGTAAATACTTTTTTATGCTAAATGTTCTTGTGAAATTTCCTCTATGGTACGTAGATTTTATGAAATTATGCGCAGCAATAGATTAGCAGCAAGGTATCATCATTTTGTAGTTGAAATGGCTAGATGTTACCGTAAGTTCTATGCTAACAGTTCCTTCTCTTTCACTTCTTGCTTTCCAGTCAAGTCTTCAAAAATTGAAATTTAATGTCAATCGTTATCTACTGTCTTCTTTTTTTTTTTTTGTTCTCTCTCCTCAACAATGTTTTTCTATTTCTTATATTCTTTCACACTAAACTAAGTGGAATGAGTGTCTTATTTGTTGTATGTGTGTGTGTGTGGAGTGAAATGAATTTTAAAAAATGCACATATACACACTCACGCATAAACCAATATTATATATACATACTAGCAGTAGAGACCGGCGTTGCCCGGGGATGTAACAGTAAGAGATAGATCAAGTATCGACCATCATAAAGACTGAAAAATAAAACTGACAAAGATTATTGTTTAAGGTTGACGGACACGCATGTCTTAATTAGCTTTTTTTGTTTTTTTTGGTTTGTTTTTTTTACGAATTGGTCAAACCCAAACTCAAACAAAAACATTGCTGTCAATCGTTATGGGTCTATCGATTGCATAGAATTTTATTATAAACAATTGTCTTATAAATGGAATTTTTAAAGCATTCTGAATGTAAAAATAGAGAAAAAAGTGTGCAAGACAATAAGTAACACTACCTGCCACAAAAAGTGAAGTTTTGTTGAAATCGGTTGAAAAATGTAGGAAATCCGATCCCATATATAAACGAACACACACACACACACACACACACACACACACAACATGGGTTTTATAATAAGTATAACTCGATATGAGTTATCCCCCTTTCATTCCAATTTTTGGCGCCGTCAGAACCACCACAAGGTAATTTTACGTAGTCCTGTGAAGTTTTGTTGAAATCAGTTGAAAAATGTAGGAAATCCGATCCAATATATAAACGTACACACGCACACACACACACACAATCTGCGTTTTATAATAAGATATATATATATATATATATATATATATCGCTTTCTCTCTATCTATCTATCTATATTTCTCTCTCACACTCTTTCTCTTTCTCTCTCTCTCTCTCTCTATCTATCTATTTATTTATTATATATATATATATATATATATATATATATATATATATATATATATATATATAAGTGCGCAGGTATGCAGAAAATAGAAAAGAACACGTTGGGTGCATAATCCGGAGTTCCTTAGTATTTTTTTGTTTTTATTTTTAAGAAGACAGTGCTCCATACACAAGTAGAGCTTTATTATAATAATATTTATGCAGAAGGAATCATATTTTTAAACAAACAAAAAAAAAATATATATATATATATATATATATATATATATATATATATTTAGCGAGAGGTGGGAGACTAGAAACTATTATGATTCCCCCAGCGACTTCGATGGGCTGGACACCTTGCCCGTATTAGACATCTGCCTGCCCAAACAAATCCACTTCTCGGAGCTCGCATCTGGCAAGAGACCACATTAAGCTTCCCGTTGGCGATACAATGACTAGCTCATAAACATCTTTCTGAGGGCAGAAATCAATCTGGTCAATTAGGAGAGTGAGTCTGCAGAAAGATCCAGTTGTAGCCTTCTTAAAAGTTGCTTGGTCCTTCGTGTTTAATGTAAGAAGGGAGCTACATATTTCCAGCAAGAATGTGTCTTCCGTAGCAGAAATGTTGAGTTCGTCCACCAAATCCAGCCTAATATCGATGCGAATCCCGTAAAATTGACGAGGGCCATATTGCCAATCAGCTCCATATGTCGGAGTCAACAGTCAGATGTGTAATGCGTAATACGTGAAAATATAAATCATATATTATGAGGAAAGGGCAGTTCATATCCATTCGTAGCCGACAGAACCGTGTGATCCGGCTGAAGCGCTTGCTAATCGACGTCAAGCAACTTCCTCATCATGTTACCCCTAACATTCGGCTTCCTTACTTTTCCCATTTAAATCCTATGTACTATGTACTCGCTGAGAGAAAGCGAAGTGGGGAGAGAGTTTAATATATATATAGAGAGAAATGCTTGCGTACAATATCAAGGACACACTGAAGGCTGTATCAACGCATGTAATCGTTTTACAAATCACATCGAGGCCGAAATCGAAACTTAGGGTGGCTATATGGAATATTCTTGTTTTGTGAATAATGTTTATAGGAATGTGTACTAAATTATATAAATAAAATTTTATTTTCTTGGTTCAATAATATATAGTAAATTTTGTTCTCAAAAACTAGAAGCACTTTTTTTATATAAAGGTTGATTATTAACAATAATATAAGAAAAAAAAACAACAAATAATCAATAAACCAATATCTACTATCTATATTTCTCATGTTGTCTGTCTGTGTGTCTGTCGTGAGCGTTGTTACCTCGCCCGATTTCGATGCGGTTTTCAACACAAGTTTGCAAATGGCTGCCGTAAGGACATGACGGAGCCCGATTTTTGAGTTCGGAATCAGGTTCCGAAAAAATCGATAATCGAAAAAATCGATAATCGAAAAAATTCCGCTTACAGAAGGAATGATCGCATTTCAACCAAATTTGACACCCTCTTAGAGTCTACCATTAGAAGTGTTATCCAGAAGTTTCATGACCACGGACCCCTAAACAGCGCGGAAAATCGATAAAACCCAAAAACTGATTGCGTCTGAACCGCATGTCGGTTTTTAGCGAAAACCGAGCGGATTTATGAAGAGGCCATTGGGAGTCATCATGTGAAGTTTCAACTCTGAGCACCCCCCACCAAAAAAAACAGAGTGCAAATCGACAATCGGTCAACCCTTAAAAATGTTTTTTCCGTTTTTTTAAAGCTGATCGTATTGTGTTTATTTTGTTTAGTTCTTTTTTCGTAACAGATTTAATGTTTACTATAGAGCTTAGAAAAAGTTGGCAGTGTGATATAGGCAAGTGTGGCATGTAACAACATCAGCACGGAAAAGGGCACTCCTCTAAAGGCAAAGAAAGGCAAGGAAGGGCAAAAATAGTTTAAGTCAAGTGATAGCGATTGCTGTATTAGTCATACTATTTTTTAATCAAGCACGGGCAACGCCGGGCCATGCTGCTAGTTGTCCATAAATTCGCTTGCCTACTTGAAGAATTTCTATCTCATAATAACAATTTAAACAACACATACATTAGTTACAAAACCATTACATTATCGCACCGATTACATTGGCAATTATCTGATAATAGTCTGTTTCACATATTGACTACCAACCACAAGATAACTCGTTTATTGGCAATTTTTATTATGACACCGGTCATGTGTCATCTCGTATATCCGGTCTTGACATCAAGACCAGGAGGTTTTCGTTGTTTTTAAATAAATTGATAACTGACATCTAATGGAGGAATGAACTGTACTGATAACTTAGGTATCTCCACGAAATTGCTACAAAAAACATATAGCATGAAAAAAAAACGATGTAATAAATTTTTTTTCGGCTTAAATATATATATCATTCTTAGAAGAAACACCAAAGTATTTTTGATTATTTTTAAAAATTTTTACTCATTCTTATCAGGTCCGAAATTTTATTTAAAAAGTTGTTTATTTCTGTCATCAAAATTACTTAAAAAAAGTAAGTATCAGCCATTTTTTTCTAATTTTGTAAACAAGTTAAAATCCTTGTTTATAATTATTTTTCTACGTTTTTAAAATTTATTTGACGGATTAGTTAAAATATTTTGAAAAAGCTTTTACTTACTTTTTTCGAATAAAAAATTGTTCGAAATAAAAAATTAAGCGATCTGAATGTCGAGTGACAAGTGATACCTGTCATCACATATCGACAGCTCACGTGAGATTCGCGTTATCATACAGATGGTCATACGTGACGTAACGTTTTTTTGTGAATCATTATGTACACCCCGTAATTAGTAGATAATAAAAAACAAAAAATTAGCATTCCAATTTCCTTTATTTTGTTATTTTTATTATTACTGGAACTTAAAACGTTGATACTATCTATTGTTACGAATTTCTATAATAAAGGATTCCTTTGAGTTCTACTTGTTATTACAAAAAAGTTTTCCTCATTTTTAGTTGTAAAATAGAAATTAGAAATAGAATGTTTGGAAGATTCTAGATCATTCTAGTATATTCGATTTAGAAATATGCAAATTAGGTGTTAGCCCATTTTTTGGAAAAGGGTTGTCAATGCTGTCATGTCAACTCCGGCTTTTTGATTCAAGGACTATTATATCCAGCCGAAAGAATCTCTATAAAAAGTTGCCGACCAACCAAAACCCAAAAGAGAATTTCATGGAACAAAGTTGGTAAATAGAATTTTTTACTAATTTTCATTGACCAAACTAAAAATTAATATTTATTTACACCTTTGTGGATTTAAATATAGCACTTAGATTACTTCACTCGCCCTAAAAAGTG